CTAAATTTTTTATTATAAAGAATATTGTTTTTACTTAAAAAGAAATCTAGAAAAAAATATTTCAATATAAAAGGTTGCTTTTTTTTTTTGGTAAAAACTATATTCTTTATAATAAGCAATTTGGATTTTAAAGAAGTTCTTTACTTAGATCTACTGATCAGAAAATTGTTTATCTTGTTCATAATTTCTTTAAATCATTTGATGAAAACAAATATACATTAGTTGTATTTTTTGATTTTTTGATCTCCTATTTATTGATCTCCGTAAAGTTTTTGTCGCTGTTGATGGTAATGTTTTATTATCAAAATTAGAAAACATTGGTATTAAACATCTAAATATTGCGTACATTAAAAGCTATTGACAAATAAAAATACATTTCTACAATGACTAATATGAAATTAAATTGTGGGGTTCCTTAAGGTCCTATATTTAACATTCAGTCAAAGCTTGTACTAAACTAGACACAATTTTATGGTTACACATGTCATTATGACACAAATCTATTCTATGCACATAATGATATAAATATTCTATCAACAAAGTAAACAATGAGCTATTAAATCCTACTAAACGGTTTAATGCAAATAAATTATCACTAAATGTAACCAAAACGAAATATACTTTTTTATAAATTTTGGAGATTTTAAAAGATAAAAATCCTTTAAAATCTCCAAAACTTTGTATAGCCAATCCAGACGTGAAAAGTTTAAAATCTCTAAATCAAGATATAAAAAGACAAGTCACAAATACTAGGATTTAAAAACTTTTTTGAAATTTTCTAAAAATCTTTGTATTTCTCGTCATCTTAATTACACAAGAATTGCGTGGAATTAATTTATCTTAATTACAAAAGAATTTGCGTACAAATAAAATTAAAGTTAAAAAACTATTTAATAAACAAAAGCATGCAATCAAAATAATTTCCAATATTGACCGTTGTACTCATTCCCAAGTATTATTTATTATGTCGAATATAAAATAAATTTCTACCAATAAATACCTATATATGTTAATAATTAATGAAAATATAATCGCTATTCAAAATAAATCAGAATTCAAGTTTAAATAGAACCAGTTAGTTACCAGTTATCTATGAATAGAACCATGCCATCTTTTTTAATAAAGGAAAGAAATTCCTGTTGATTTTGTTAAGTTTTTTTTACGTAGTAAAATTAAATCATAGTCATAATAACAGTTTATTATTAAATCGATTAAATCGTGTTTTCTCGTATCTCAACTATCGTTAGTTTAGCGCTACAACTTTTTAATCAATTCATGTGCAAATACTTGGCGCATAATTTGTCTCTAAAAAAAATAGTTTTGTAATCATTAACAATTGTCTAAAGAGGTTCTCCCAAAGATATTGCTTCTTAAGACATCATTAACAGTTGTTTAAAGTAAATATTTTTAATGGACGTCCAAAAAGATTTGTTGATGTAGCAATCATTACATGATTCAAATCATTCATTACAAGAACCTCAAATCAAAAATTCCATAGATCAACGTCGTTTTTAAATACCGCCGCAACAAACTGTTCAGGGGGGCGGTAATTAAACACACTAAAGCGGATTAAAAGCGCTCCACGTTTAACAATAGGACAGGAGAGAGAATTTCAGCATTTTTAATCCTCCACATCGAAAGTAAAACTCTTTACAAAAATTGATTTATCATTTAAATTGAACCAAATATATATATTTGGCTGAGTATATAAATATACATATATGTATATATATTTGATTTTGTGTGTATGTGTGTGTGTGTGTGTGTGTGTGTGTGTGTGTGTGTGTGTGTGTGTTGATGCGTATTTTCAGCAAAACAAAAAAGTATGCAGGTTGAATTTCGTTATGCTTTTTCTAGGTCGAGAGATCAGTCCAGAATTATAAGTTTTTAGGGCTAAGGGCTATTTTAAAGAGGGTCTCAAACTATCACAATAATATAAAAATCAATTAAAAAAAAGAATCTCTTGAAAAATGATTTTTATTTATCAAGCTTTTATAAAAACGTTTTGTGTTATAAAGTGTTACAATTTAAGATTATACCAACATTTGAAAATAAAGAAAAAGTAGAAACGTTTAAAACTGACTTGGATGAAGCTGCCGATTGGTTAAAAAAATGGTTAAATTTTTTAATTTTGACAAATGCCTAGTTATGCATTATCGAACAAAAAACAAAGTCATACTTATCTAATAGATAGCAGAGAAGTTAAAAAACAATTTTAGCGACCAGCTTAGGAGTAAAATTTTCAGATGATCTTAAGTGAAAACTTAATCATCTGCTTTGAAAACAAATTCTAATTTACGACGTTAATTCAATAAAGTTATTATACGAAGTATTTGTACGACGCATATTGAATTTGCTGCTACAATATGTTTTAAAAGGAGACATCTAAAAAAAAAATTTAGAAAAAGTTCGAATACGAGCATCTAGAATAGTTGCAGGTATAAAAAATATAGCATAAAAAGATAGTCTTGGCTCGGTGAAAATTTCCGGAATATTTCCAAAAAACTTTCAAAGATGTTTTGCTCAAAATTTTCGGATTTTTACAAAAAAATTGCAATAAACTTCTAGTTATATAAAATTTTTTGTTTCAAAAAAATGCGTTTCATCATCATGGTAGTTTGGTATTAGTTAAATATTTCAACAAAAAATTTCAAATAATAAAAACCCAGAAGCGAAAAATAACATATTCAAATTGAATTTTTATAATCAATTTTGCTCGCACATTTTATTTTTAAATCAAGCTTTTTTTTTTCAGAAGCAATAGAACTCTTGTAAACGGTTACGTTACGTAAATTATGTAAAGATTTACACGCAGCAACAGTTCATATCAAGTTAATTTAATGTGGAACATAAATTGCACATTCTAACATCTAGTGCACTCCGCTTTCTCTTTGTTATCTTTCTAACATCTAGTCTGTCCGCTTTCTCTTTGTTATCTTTCTAACCCGACTTCTTCTGATTTTCACTCTATGAGTGAAAATCAGAAGAAGTCGACGTTCTTCTTAAAATCACTTACTTTTGGTCTGTGAAGCGGGTTATGATGGTCTTTAGTGAGCTGAACTAGTTTTTGCAGGCCTTGGTATGTGGCCTCTATATAACAATTAACCGGAGGAGGATAAATTAATCTAAAATAGATTTTGCTCTTTGTATTTTGTGAATATTTTACATCATAGTTGAGAGAATTACCAAAAGTAATAAAACGTTCAAGTTGTTTACATGTTGCTTTTACTCATATTGTTGATGTAAAATGTTCACAAAATACTTAGAATAAAATCTTTTTTAGATTAACAAGTTTTATTGTGAATTATTTGTGTTGAGTTTTTTTAAAGAAACAAAGATTTTTTATGTGTAAAGATTGCATATAAAATTTTTAAAAATATGGGAAGATTTTTATGTATAGAATAAATTGCATTTAAAACATTTTTATAAAAGGTTATAAATTAACCACTTGTTATAAATGCACTAGCTTTGTTAGATAATAATTTATCTAAAAACGACAAAACACATTTGATTTAAATGTTCAGTAAAATAATAAATATATAAAAAAATAATAAATATAAAAAAATAATAACTTGCTTGGTACTTATTAAACACACACACAAATCGTCCACTTGGCAGTATTGGTTGAAAAATACGTTATACATTTAAACCATTTACAGTATAAATTTTTAGTTTATTGATTTATAAAGTAAAAGTGTTCCAGCAAGGTTGTTCTAGCAAGGTTGTTCTAGCAAGGTTGTTCTAGCAAGGTTGTTCTAGCAAGGTTGTTCTAGCAAGGTTGTTCTAGCAAGGTTGTTCTAGCAAGGTTGTTCTAGCAAGATTGTTCTAGCAAGGTTGTTCTAGCAAGGTTGTTCTAGCAAGGTTGTTCTAGCAAGGTTGTTCTAGCAAGGTCGTTCTAGCAAGGTTGTTCTAGCAAGGTTGTTCTAGCAAGGTTGTTCTAGCAAGGTTGTTCTAGCAAGGTTGTTCTAGCAAGGTTGTTCTAGCAAGGTTGTTCTAGCAAGGTTGTTCTAGCAAGGTTGTGGCGAGTGAGAATATCAAGTCTTATTTAAACATAATGGTGGAATTTATGACCTCGAAATCATTAGTTCTTTATTTTTGTTGCTAACTATATTTTTAAATAAAGTTATTAGAAAAAATTGGAAAATACTGTAAATATTCAATCAAGTCTTTTTATATATAATTTTACAGTTTTTAGTAACTTATAAGCTAATTTAATAGATATTTAAAAAAAGTGCCCCCTATCCCTTTTTAGGGATGGGGGTGCACGTTATGTTTAGCTTTAAACAAAGCTTGCTACAGCAATGAGCATCAATATGCTTAGAAACTAACAAGATAAAATACTTTTACAAATTTTGAAAACAAATTATCATGTTGCTACTTATAATTCTAATTAAAAAAATTTTACAAAGTACGAAGAAAAGTGCTTTTTAAAAGGAGCTTTCTAAAAGTTTTATAACATTTGGGCATTTCATGCATCACAATAAACAAATAATTTTTTTATTGTGATCTTTTTTTGAAAAACTTCAAAAATTCTGGAAAATTTCTTGAGTTAAAAATTTCCGAAAAATTTTCAACCCTAGTCTTGTCAAACTTAATTTACACACATTATTGAAAAATTTCTATTATATTTCCATATATTTCCGTATTTTCATTTCAAGGCTGTCAAAGTGTGCAATTCACACTTGCTGGTAACTCTACCAGCTTCAGGATAATCAATAAATAGAAATAATTAAATTTCGTAATATTTTTTTTATATTCAAGGTATAGATTAAGGGGTTTAGTGTTAAGACAAATTAAGTCTTCTTTTTTTCCCTAAATATTTGTATTTACATTATGTTTTCCTGTTTGAATAAAATGATAGGGCAATATATATATATATATATATATATATATATATATATATATATATATATATATTATATATATATATATATATATATATATATATATATACAATAATTAAATAAAAGTAAACTTTATTCAAAATTTTTTTTGTTTAGAAAAGTCATTATATCTAAACCAAAAAATTCTTCTACTGTTGTATACATCATTTTTCGGTGATAAATGGCCAATTGATTCCTCATCTAAATGCAATTTTGAAACATCTAACTTTCAAATGACATATAATAAGGACCTATTCCGTCGTAGTGATGTTGTCATGTTTCATTCGCGCAACATGCCATCGATACAAGAGTTAGAAAGCCTTAGCAATATTAGAAGTAAGGAACAGCTGTGGATTTATTTTACAATGGAGTCAATTTACAATAATCCTAGTGTTGATAACATAGATAGATACTTTAATGCTACAGCCTCATATGGGACAGATACTGATATACCATTACCTTACAGATACCATGGAAAACTCCTGAAAACTGATGAAAGTATTGACAAAGATTACTTTTCAAAAAAATCAAAAATGGTAGCCTGGATGGTAAGTAATTGCAATGGAGATGCTAGAAACAAGCTTGCTTCAAAGTTAATATCATTTGGTGTTGATATAGAAGTCTTAGGATCATGCTCAATAAACTTTCCAAAGCAATTTTCTTCAAAATGTCCAGGCAAACCATGTTTAGACGATTTTAAATTTTATTATTCTGCAGAAAACTCTTTATGTGACGGTTACATTACAGAGAAGTACTGGTATAATGGACTTGATAACAACTTAATACCAATAGTATTAGGAGGATCCAACTATTCTGATCCAAGATTAGCCATTCCAGGATCTTTTATTGATGCTATGAGTTTTGATTCACCAAAAGCCTTGGCTGATTATATTTTAGATGTTAGTTCCAATTCTACCAAGTATAACTCTTACTTTAGGTGGAAAAAAAACTGGCAGTTAGACAGCTCCAGTAACTTTTGCATGCTTTGTGATAAAATAAGAAATGGTTTAAATCTTCGAAAAAATCCCTTAATAAAAACAATGCATATAGAAAAATGTATTCGCCCTCAGGAAAAGTTCAACATTTGGATAAATAATAACTAAATAATTTTACAATTCAAAATTATTTGATAGCTATTTGATAATTCAAAATGAAATGTAATGAAGTAAACCTAATAAAAATAAAAACCGTTATAAAATTCAATTACAAAAAATTAACTATTTAAAGTAATTTTTCATACAATAATTATGAAGTCAATTAATACTTATGAACTCAATTACATATTTTGAGTTATTTTGATTATGCTCCTGTTATAGATCGTGTTAAAGTTTGGTGTTAACAATGGTGATACCACTAATTAACAAAATTCAAATTTATCTTTTAGAGAAAACCTAAAAAAAATGTTTGTTATATTTAAAACCATATAATAAAACGTATTTGTAATACTGTTGGGACCATAAAGCAAGGGTCTTGTTAAGTCTACACCAATCTTTTCTATACTTATTTCTTACTTCAATATCTTTTTAGTAAGCAGCAGAAAAATAATTATTTGTATATTCACGTATATATATATATATATATATATATATATATATATATATATATATATATATATATATATATATATATATATATATATATATATATATATATATATATATATATATATATATATATATATATATATATATATATATATATATATATATATATATATATATATAATATATATATATATATATATATATATATATATATATATATATATATATATATATATATAAATGCAGTGGGGTGCAAAAAAAAAGCCACAATTTTTTCTTGATTTTAAAGTATATAATTTATAATAAAGCAAAACTAAAAAAATTGGGTTTGGTAGTAAGAAATCTAGGACAGATATCTAGGACAGAAAAAGTATGTTTATAGTTACACTAATAAATATATAAATGAAATTTCAAAAAAAAATGGAATAATACAGACACATTTAATAATTTAGAAAACAATTACAGGTATAGAAATTAGATGAATTACTGAAGTTGATGACTAAGGAGAGTCTTACAGAAGCATTGGAAAACGTTTTAAACGACAAAACTCAGCCAAAAGTAGTTTGGTAAAGAAATATAAACACACTGGTACTGATTAAAGGTTTATAGGATCTGGGAGAAAGTCTAAAAATTCAAAAGAGGAAGATTGCTGCATTCTTATTGCCGTCAAAAAAGATCGTAAAGTTACATGTTCTGAGAAAAAACTAGATTTGAACCTTACTAATATCTCAAGATAGACAGCATCTGGTCAAATAAAAGCATAAGGTGAGTTTTGCTGGCAAAAAAAAATATATAAAAATCCTACGTATTGAAATCAGTTGCAAAAAAAGATTAAAGTGATGCATTGAGCACAAAGATTAGACATATGAACAACGGGGTTAAGTTATATTGGAGTTCTTTTAGTGAATACAAAGTTTAAAAGCTTTACCGGTTGGAGGGTACCATGGACCTGCATTTGTTTCACAAGATCTTAGTCATTCAACTTTAAAAAAGTATAAAAGAATTTTTCCCAAATGATAACTACATCTTTCTACAAGATAACAATCCCAAACATACGGCACAATTGAATAAAAAATATTTAAAATCTAAATTGATACCAGTGATGTCTTTGCTAGTACAGTCTCCTGATTTAAAACTAATAGTAAAACCTAAATCTTTGTTGGATAGAAAATTGAAAGATCATAATGCAACAAATGAAAATGATCTGTTTCAAATTCTTTTTGCCGGTTGGAATGCTTTGAAAAATGACTAGTAGATAGATTAAAAACTTGTAGATAGTATGCCTTCTAGATGCGAAGAAGTCATAAGAAACAAAGGATGGTCAATTGAGTATTACTACAACTAAAACTTGAAAAATACTTTGCAAATCCTAATTTCTTTTATTATATGTAATATACAATAATGTTATGTACAATTCTATAAAAATTATCCTGAATTTCTTTTGTTATCTGAACTTAAGACATTTTTTGCTGGTTTTTTTATCAAAAAATTAAGTGTGGCTTTTTTTTTGTACCACCTGTATATATATATATATATATATATATATATTATATATATATATATATATATATATATATATATATATATATATATATATATATATATATATATATATATATATATATATATATATATATATATATATATATATATATATATATATATATATATATATATATATATATATATAATATGGTCACGATCAACCTGCTACTGGTATCATGTAATCCAGTACTACCTGCCCTATTCCCTACTGCCTTCTAGGGTGTGCTTTTTTAGTTAAAGGCTAGGAGAGACAAACTTTGACTTTAAAATCTTCTGTCTTAGGGCTCTTGGTTGAATAAAGGCTAGAGATAGTGTCTTAATAAAAATACTCATCTTGGGCAGCTGTTAACTGCATCCAGCTATGGTCTACAATCAGGGCTCTTTTTATAACTAAAATTTTCTGTTTTTATGACATTTTATATTACGACTGAGAATGTGTGAAAAAGACCACTATGTAACGCATGATATAAAAATAATTAGTATATTTTTATTTCCATTTTTAGTTGATTTTTACAACAATTTCAAAAAATTCTGAAATTTTTTTACATATTGGGGTCTTTATAATCGCGGGGCCCTAGAAAGCGGCCTAGTCAGCTTGTTTGATAAATCCGGCCCTGTCTACAGTATTACCTTTCATTATTAAAAGAAAAAATGTTAAATCTTATGACAAACGTTAAGAAGAATGTAAACGCGTAACTATTCAAGACGAAAACGTTACAATTGACTCATTAACACTTTTTCTAAGATTGGTTGCTTTTGTTGAGAGAAAGCCAGAGAAAGAATTGGAGAATTACTTTCAATATGAATTGTTACCAAATCCAATATCCTTATTCAAATAAAGTAGTGATATCTTTTAAAAATACATTAGTTTTCATTTATAACGTGACAATCATTTTTGACGGTTACCTGTTCTCAACTATTGATATTATACACCAAAAGCGATCTGGTAAGATATCACAAACAGTAGAAATCAATGATCTCAATTCATGTCCAGCAGAAAGAAATATTTTCCTAACTAACTACAAAAACAAAGAAAGATTTGTCAACCTTTTAGCATCGAAGTTACAAAATAATTGTTTTTTTTTTTGTTAATATATTCGTGATTATTAATATAAATTTGTACAACATTTTACCGTGAAATATATGACTGGAGCAAGTAGAAGACAATAGTCTTATCATCTTGCCCCATTTTTGTCGTTGACAAAATATAACAAAATGTAAACCAAATACAAATATAATAAAATATTTATAATACATATGATTTTTTTTTTTTTACAATGAACATCATTAAATAACCAAGCAAGTAATATAATAAAGGAAAAGTTTTAATATTTCAAAAAATTTTAAAAATAAGAGATTGTTTCATTAATGTCGAGGTCTAGTAGCTGTTGCTTTACGACGCATTTAAAATGTTGGAATGAGTTTATCGCTTTTATTTTGTTTGTTAGAAATGAGTTCCACAAATGGGGTCCTCTGCTGGATATTGAGAATTTATAGAGGTTTTCGGAATATAGTAGTTCTTGATAAAGTACTATGTTTGATATTTGTGATTGATAAAGCGAAAATAATTATGGAAAACTTCAGGGACCAGATCATCTTTGAGTTTAAAAATGAACTGTAGAATGCAATATATATTTTGTTCGTAGATATTAAAAACTCTCAGTTCCCTTATGAAATGTTTAGAATTCGCATTTCTATTTGCGTTTGTTAATTTACGGCACGCTTGTTTTTGTTTTTTATATATTAAATCTAGTTTTGATTGGTAGATACTAGTCCAGGCAATATTGTAGTAGTTAATATAGCTATATATATATGCAAAATGAAAACTTTTAAGGGATGCATTATTTAAAATATATCTGGTTTTATGCATAATTCCAATGTTTTTAGATATTTTGTTTTTTAATTAATGTGCTATTTCCAGCTACTAACTAACTTTGTGTAATAGAATATCTGGAAGTTTTAATGGTAGTTTGTATGAATTTTATGGTTTTGTGAAAAAGATATAATTACTTTTCTCAATGTTGGCAGAAAGTTTGTTTGCTTTAAACCAATCGCTCAACTCTTCAAGTTCCTGATTTACTGTATTAAAAAGTGTAGTAATGTTAGAGTGAATATAGAAAGCTTGAGTGTCATCTGCAAAAAGAATGAAGTTCAATATACTGGAAGATAAAAATATGTCATTTATATAGATTAGGAAAAGCAGAGGTCCTAGTATAGACCTCTGGGGAACACCACACGTGACGATTTTTTATTGTAAAGCAAGGCTTGTTTACGATTTTTTAGATACCAACTGAACGATTTTAAGTTTTTATTTTTTATACCATAATTATAAAGTTTGTATAGAAGGATCTCGTGGTCCACTGAATCGAAAGCCTTTGAAAGATTGATAAATACTCCAAGGGCGTGTTTGTTTTTGTCAAAGCCGCTTAAAATTTTTTTAACTAATTTTATAACAGCATGTATAGTTGAGTGGCCTTTTTTAAATCCGTATTGGTTATTGTAGAGGATGTTATGATTTTGAAGGTATGAAAAGAGTCTATTATACATTACGCGCTCTAATATTTTTCAGAAGCATGCGAGTATGGAGATGGGTCTATAGTTAGATAAAGTCGAGTCATCTCCGCTTTTAAATACTGGAACTACGCGTGCTAATTTTAGGCGGTCAGGAAAAACTCCATTTTTTAATGAGAGATTAAAGATATACATTAGAGGATACTCAATAACATCATAAACATTTTTAACAACTTTAGAGTCTATGTCATCAAGATCTCAAAGTTATTTGCTGTCCCAGTGATGAAGACACGAGTATTGTTAAGCTAGCGCTTGAGATCGAAAACGTCACAATTGATTCGGATGAGAATGATATTCTATGTCTTTTGATGGATCGTGTAGAAAATTACCTCAAACCAACCATTTTTAAAAAACGTTAAAACAAAATAAAGCATCAGATCAAAGAGTATGATATAAAATTCAGAAAATTGTCAATATAGTGATGCTACTTTTTTGATTACTTATTATTTGCACACGCATTCACCGGATGTGACACAACATCAGCAATCAGTTTTTTTAAGCTGCTTCATTCACCTGGTTTCAAACTACAACAGATCAGAGATATGGTATAATTAACATAAATTTGGCATCTGATTGTGCAAATATTGATCCTGCTCTATTAGAGATCTACAATATATGTATATATATATATATATATATATATATATATATCATATATATATATATATATATATATATATATATATATATATATACATATATATATATATATATATATATATATATATATATATATATATATATATATATATATATATATATATATATACATATATATATATATATATATATATATATATATATATATATATATATATATAT